AGGGCGGCCTACCTGAACAGCAAGGCGCGCGCGACGGGGGGCTGGAGGGAGGGTGTGCCGACGAGCGCGGAATCCCACAACGCTACAGTGAGCGGCTTGAATAAGGAACACTTGCTGTTCAAAAGGGGCTCGGTCGTTCCTTAGGCTTGCATGCGTTATTTACAGTTCCTTATGCGTTGTTTGTTATTTTTCGTTCCTTATGCGTTATTCCTTGGGGTAAGAAAGGGGCTTCGTTCCCTATTTATCGTTCCTTAGGTCAGGCCGATGACGAGCGCGGAGTCCCACAACGCTAGGTTTGAGTCGGGCCTGTCCCTCTACAGGAGGAGACTTCAAACATAGTATAATAATAGTATGGGGGCCAGTTTTGGATTATTCTCGAGCATTTTTGGAGCATTTTTGGAGTATGATTACTTTGTCGTCCTAAATCCCCCTCTAGGGGGACGGGCCCGACTGAACGCTAGGTTCGCGTTGGTCCTGGAGAGGTGGTCCAGACGCCCGCGGGGGTCCACTGCGTGCCCCCACCCCCGTCTCCTCCCCTGCGTCTCCCGTGAACACGGGGTGATCTCCCATCCACTCCTCTCGGGGTCGTGTGGAGCACCGTGCCAGAGCCACAGAGGATTGGGCGAGGAGGGGTACGCGCATATGCTCCGATCTTGGCTTGGTCTCTCCTGGGCCCAGGATCGGTACACATGCATGCTGGCATGGGTCCGGGGCGGTGTCGCTGCGAAGATGTCTGCCGTGCAGGACCCGATACGAAAAGAACCGTTACCGGGTAGTCGGGCTTGTTCTTCTACACGAGACATATTCAACACTATCAAAAAATAATATGGGAACGATTTTTCGAGTATTTGTTGACCACGTTGAGGCATGTTCGGTTTATGTGTTGTTCTTCGTCCAAAATCCGCCTGTAGGAGGACAGGCCCGACTTAACAGTAATGAGATAGAGGTCAGCTGGAGGAAGAGGCGAAGATGAGCCGACGAGGTGGAGGAGGTTGATGTTTCCAGGGGGTGCGCATAATGTGCCAAGAACCTGCGTGCGCAGACTCGTGCTTGTTTCTGGTAATGCTGCGTGCTGGCCTCTGAAACGCCTCCTATGGGTAGGGGGGGCGCCCCAAAGTTGGAGAGAAGTATCTGTTCCAGGGACGTTTGCTTGCCTGGAGTAGCCTGGACAGGTCCCACGCAACGAATCAGGGTGTGCCTTTCGGACGTGCTCTTTCTGTCCTTCAGGTCACGCCAGCGTGTGTCACGGATGCATGTCGTTCGTGGCGTCCATCGACATTTGGCGTCCTTGGTGTTATGATGTTCCAACCAATTGTAGCCTTGATTACAAGAAAGAATTTCGAGCACCAGAACCAGTACCGAAACTCGAGGGTTTTCACGTGTCGGGCCCTGGGAGACTCGTCCGACACTGTTTCGACACCGTTTCGACACTCTTTCGACAATTTTCTGGGTGCTCGAAATTATTTCTTAGGTGTGGTCCTTGAGAACGATGGGAGCAACATAACCCTGGTGGCCTCCTTCGCGGCCGCCGCCGACGCCTTCGTCGAACGCGCGCGCTGCGCCAGGCTCCTGTGCACACCGTGCTGTGCTGGGCACCAGCGTGTCCCCGCGCGGGCGCGGAGTGCGGACAGGGAAGAGCGGGCCACGCAGAGAGGGCACGCGTGCGGCCGCCGTGTTGAGCTCCCGTTTGCATCGTTTGCGCTGTTTGGGGCCCGGGCGCGTGTCTTTCGGGAGGGAAAAAACACACAGACACAACGAATCGTCGATTCCCAGGAAAATATGGGAACATATTGGAAGTGGAGGGGGGGAGACAAAAACTCAGAACCTATAGGAAAACAGGGGGAATCTTTGTATCTGTGTCCATTTATTTGTGGATCCCAGGGCCCCTTCAGTCTTCGAGGGGTGACCTGCGGCTGCCCTGCCCAATGCACCCACCATCACTCCATCCGGGTGCTGTTCGGACCGAGGCGGGGCAGGCGGGATGATGAGGAAGATGATGTTGCTGATGATGATGATGTTGATGATGATGACGAGGAAAATGATGGTGATAGTGACGATGATGATGATGATGATGATGATGATGGTGATGATGATGATGATGATGATGATGTTGATGATAGCGATGATGATAGTGATGATGATGATGGTGGTGATGATGATGGTGATGATGGTGATGATGGTGATGGTTGCGGTGGTGATGATGACGCCGGCGATGATGCTGGCTATGATGGTGATAGTGGTTTTGATGAGGGTGGTGATGGTGAGGTTTCTGCGATCATGCGAGCAGCAGCAAGAGCAGCAGCAGTGTCAGGAGGAGCGGGGGGAAATTGGAGGGGTAGGGGGTAGCGATAGGAAGGGTCATTGCGATGAAGACGATGAAGAACATCAGCAGCAGCAGCTGGATGAGCTCCATGAGTCAGATGTCGACGAACGAAGAGGACGGGGAACAGTTAGAGTATGAGGTTGCGTTTTGGGATTGTATTGGGAAACGTGTTGCCGATGAAGACAGGGGAGAGTGAGGATATCTATGATGCAAAGGATGGGAGGATACCGAAGACAAGGAGGCGGAGGATATTGATGGATAGGGTCAGGGCCAAAAGAAGGAGGGGGAGGAGAACACGGAGTTTTGAAAAAGGAGGGCGACGACTGAACGCACATGCGGAGCAGGAGGAAGTTGATAAACCGGTTGAACCCAGGCACGAGGCAAGTGAGAGAGAAGCATGATGAGAACGAACAGGGGGATGATGAGTAAGAGCCAGTGACATAATCATAGTGCGTCCGCAGGTTATGGCGGAGGATTGCCGCCTGAGGAACGAGCATCTGAGCGTGCACTTTCAGTGAGCAAGGTAATTTGCCCGCTGCCAGCACGCTCCACCACCTCAGCTCCTCATTACACCTTTCCTCCTCCTTCGCCTCCTGTGAGGTCATCAGCCCTCTCATTGGCATTTTCGTCGGTTCCTTGCGCTGCCAGGAGTGAAGTGGTTCCGCCCACGCGAAATCATTGGGTGTCGCGCTCGTGGTTTTTGGCCGGGGGCTAGCAGGAAAATCGCCACGCTTGTTTTCTCCATCCTTCCCGTCTGGCCCAGGGATTGGGTCCTCGCCAAGCTCGGCCAGGGGGGTGGGAAGGGCGGGCGGGTGGAGGGAAGGAGGGGGGTCGGGGCAAGGGGCCAGAGGGCGGGTGGAGGGCATGATCTTGGGCCGCGCAGAAGGTCATCTTGATTGCAGAGAGCTGCGCCTGCGGCAGGCCGTTGGTTGGATTCGAGTGGTTTGAGCATTATCTTGGCGACGCTCGGACGTGTGCATCTTTTCTCTCGGCGAGAAGTATCGAGGAGCATCCTGGATCATCTCGGGGGAAAAAATACGAAACCGAGCAATGCACTGGGAAGGGACGTCCGAGCGATGGCAAGCTAGCTGTGCTTGGGCACTGTCACCGTTTCTCCATGGTTTACTCGCTCGTCTGTCTGTGCCACAGCTCCTGCCTTGTTTATGTACGCACTGGTAAACTGATGCTGACTTGCCTGTGCCTTGGCTATGCGCCGCAGCGGGCGCCGCGCTGGCCTACTCTGACGCTCTGGTCGCTCGCTCTTACATCGTCCCTTGCTGTGAAGTGTATAGCCTCCATGGGTTGAGCCCACGTCCTGAGCAGACCATGCTGGACCGAGCCTTTTACCTAATAGTGCATGCTGTTCTGCATTGCGGCTGCGCTGAGTAGGCTTCGGCATCGACCCCCTTGACGCTACCCAGAACTATGCAGACTATGCACCTGTGAGTGGCACTTGTTTGACCGCATGTTCCCCTCAGGCCTGTGCGAAGCTCGTGCCTGCAACAATGCAGTCACCTGCGTTGTGCGGAGGGTCGAAGTGCACGTTGCACTGCCAAAGTGAGATCGTAGCTCGGGTAAAACATCGGGAGGGCCTGCTGACGCTCAAACAGCCAAACGGAGAAGCGCAATGTCAAGAAGAGCGTTTGGGTCTCGTGCTTGAGCGGGTCCGTGGCGGCCGTGGGATTCCAGACACTCCTCCTCCTCCTCCTCCTCCTCCTCCTCCTGCTCTTCCTCCTCCTCCCTCCTCCTCCTCCTCCTCCTCCTCCAAGAATGTGCGTTGCCACTGGCAGACTGGTAATATAGGTGATACCCCCTTGATTCACAGCGCAGGCCATTCACGGAAGCGCGTGTCGAGGAGGGAAGCGGGGAAATGACGGAAGAGGTTGGGAGGTGACCGATGGATCACCAGTATCGTTGTTGAGCCATGTGTGATCATCACGACGAGTAGCAGGCGTGGTGGGTCTCGGTCAGGAAGGTGCGAGTGCCTTCCCCAGTGGGCTCGGTGGAGATAGCTCCCCTGGACGCCCACCCAGGCAAGTAGTTTGGTAGGGAGGCGGGGCCCACGGAGAAGCCAGAGAAAGTTTCGGTAGCAAATCAAGGGATCCTGGTATGCCATCCCAGTTCCGTCTTCTGCGTCGACTAGCACCGATTAGCGTCTGGGAGTCGACGAGGTAGCGCCGATTCAGCGTCGATTCAGCGTCGATTCGTGTCGATCTAGCGTCGATTGGCGTCGATTTGGCGCCGATCGGCGCCGACTCCGGAAGAGCTCGCAAGATGGTGCGGGAGGCTCCCACGAGCTGCCGCCCGAAGCTGGGTCGGGGGGCGGGGCCCCGGAAGAGAAGAGCCAGAGGGATAAAGCTGCGCTCTCCCCCCCCCGGTGCCACCAGCCCTCCTCTCCGGGGCCCCCATCTCCCCCTCCGCTGCCCTCGGTCCCTCCCGGCCGGCCAGCAGCTGGGATCGGCCCTCGCGTTCCCCTGCCCGGCGCCCTCGCCGCACAGGGAGGAGCAGGCCGTGGTGCGGTGGAGGCCCCAGGGCGGCGGGAGGGGGCAGCTGCTGCCAGACCCTGCGGGCGGGAGGCCGTCTCGTATGGGGCAGGCCCCCCCCCCCGCCCTCCTCCCTCCTCCCTCCTCCCTCCTCCCTCCTCCTCGGCAGGCTCCCCGCTACTGGAGCGCCGCGCAGCCGTTTTCGGCTCAGGGCCGCGCCTCCCCGGGCCGAGTTGAACGCGGCAGCGCCCGCCCCATCGCTGACCCGAGCTCGGGCCGAGAGCCCACAGACCCACCAGGGTATTCGGAAGGCATGGCGATGGCGGCGATCGACACGTCCTTCTTGAACGACTCGTCCGGGCTCGCGAAGGAGGTCCGAAGAAGAACAAAAGCCAGAAGCATAAACTTTGAGCGCTCCGCGCGGATTGCTGGGATCCGCGCTGGGCACCCCCCGACAGCGCCTCCAGCGCCGCCCCTGGCGCGCTCCGCGCGCCAGGGAGTGGGGCTCAGCGCAGATACACGAAGTCCGCTCGGAGCGCCAATGGTTTATGTCTATGGCGTTCTGAAGGAAGCGCCCGCGCACTCGCAGATGGGCCTCCGGCTTGGCGATCTGCAGACGCTGGCCATGGCCCCCGTGGCCAGCCCGTCCACGTTCTGCGTCGACATGAAGGCGAGCGGCGAAGCGCCCGGGCTCATGGACTTCAAGCACGGGACGACCACTCTTGGCTTTGTCTTTCAGGGGGGCATCATCATTGCCGTCGACTCGCGCGCGTCCATGGGCAGCTACATCGGGTCCCAGACCGTGAAGAAGGTCATCGAGATCAACGACTTCCTGCTCGGGACCATGGCGGGCGGGGCCGCGGACTGCTCGTACTGGGAGCGGCACCTTGCGCAGATGTGCCGCATGTACGAGCTCCGACACAAGGAGCGCATCTCTGTGGCGGCCGCCTCTAAGCTCCTGTGCAACATCTTCTTCAACTACCGCGGCCGGGGCCTATCCTGCGGCACCATGGTGGCCGGCTGGGACAAGCACGGACCGTCGCTCTACATGGTGGACGACCGCGGCGACCGCTTCAAGGGTCAGAGGTTCTCGGTGGGCTCCGGCTCCACCTTCGCGTACGGCGTTCTCGACACCGGCTACAAGTATGATCTCTCCGTGGAGGACTCAGGAGGGGAAAACACACACAGACACAGTTAATCGTCGACCCCCAGGAAAAGACAAGAAAATATGGCAAGTCGTGGGAGAGACGGAAACCCAGAACATATTTCAAAAATTTGGAATCCTGGGATTCTGTGTGTCTATTCATTTGTGTGTCCCTGGGCCCCTTCAAGGACGCTGTCGAGCTCGGCCGCAGGGCCATCTACCACGCCACGCACCGCGACGGCGCCTCGGGGGGCGTCGTGCGCGTGTACCACGTGCACGAGAAGGGCTGGACGAAGGTGATCGCGGGCGAGGACGTGAACGAGCTGCACTACATGTACGCCGCGCAGAAGGGCATGACCGGCATCGAGTGAGAGGCGGCGTGCTGAGCCCGGGCTCGCCCGGCTCGACTTGGCGGGGCAGTGGCGTCTGCCAGCGCGTTGCGCTGCAGAGCGCCCGGGGTAGGCCGCATGTCGCTCCAGTGCGGCCTGCTTGCGAGGAAGCGATGAAGGAGGAGATTCATTGCGGCAGGGAAGGCCGAGGAGGAGGAACGTACGCCGACGCGTTGCTGTTGGCAGAGGTCACGAGCTCAACCAGAAAAATTGAGCCCTCACGAGCTGCAGCGAGGTTGGTAGGCTTCTGAGCGCTTTGCTCTGTCCCTGTTTTCGTGCGTCACTGGTGGTCAAGCGATTGGGCGGGGGACTGGGTCGGCACGGCGGAAGAACGTTGAAACGCAATGGTTGCATTCACGGGACGCGATGTCCTTAGCTCTTGCTTCTGCGAGGGCAGCGATCTTCGGGGCCTGTCTGCGTGTTGAGCATACCTGGCCCTGCAGATTACCCAGTTAGCCTTCCACCGCGCATTCAGCAAGCTGATGTCCCCGGACATGTTTGCCATCGTAGACCCCGCACAGTTCCTTATTGCACGTTGCATGTGTATGATGCGTGGTGCCAGCTACGAGAGACAGTCTATGTTGTGCACAGGCACAGCGGTGCAACCTGCGTGGCGCAAGCTATGCCTATGGTGGCTTGGGGCCTTCTTGGAGGGATCTTGGGGCCCCTCTGGGGTCGTCTTGGGGTCCTCTGGGGTCGGCTTGGGGCCTTCCTGGGAAGCCTTTCCCTCCCCCCTCCCCCCTCTGCGCGCCGCCAAGCATGGGGATGCATGGGGATGCATGAGGGCGACGGCGACGACGACGAAGGAGATGCTGGCGGCGGCGGCAACGACGAGGACGACAGCGACAAGGACGACGACGCGCGGTGTGCGCTTGCTTCGGCTCAGCCCCACGGTGTGCGAGCCCCCGCGGGGAGATGACGATGACGACGACGACGATGACGACGATGATGGCGATGACAGTGACGTCGTCATTGCCATCGTTGGCATCGTCATCACGAGAGAGACAGAGAGAGAGAGAGAGAGAGAGATGAAGGGAGATCGTTCGCTCGCTCAGGTTCAGCCCAGCGGTGTCATAGCTACCGCGGTGAAACGACGACGACGACGACGACGACGACGACGACGACGACGACGGTGATGTCGTCAATGTGATCACCGGCGTC